CTCGGTCATTTTCACTATCATTTTTGCTCTGTTTGTAGCGATTTGCTGATTGTGACGTGGATAACCCTTTCATAAATTGAATGCAGTTTGATGTAAAAATGTCGTAGAGAGTTCCGCGACGCCAAGTTTTGTTCGGAAATGTTTGCTCTACACGAATAGGCTATTTACAAAAAGTTTCCGCTGGAATCGTGGGACTTGATTTTTTGGGATATTATAAAATCTTGGTTTTCCACAAACCTGGTTTGCAGAAATTTCAATGGCATTTTCATGTGCACCCTGATTATAAACTCTTTTAGTTGTTTGTTTTCACATTTGTCCTAGCTATTATGGTTGAGGCGAAAAATTAAAAATAAAGGTGAACCCATAATTTTGGTCAGTATTGCATGTTTTTGATTGGCTGTAAATTTGGGAGCAATTGCAAACACCTGTGAGTGACAACTGCTCTTAAAATTGCCCCTCAGTGACCGCATTTTAACGAAATGGATCACAGCTTAGGAGATGTCGACCCTTGCGGTACAGTTGTGCTCAACAGGAAATAACACACTTTGTTCAACAAGTGAGTTCATCATGATGATTTGTCTTTCTGAACTATGTGGCTTGACTAACTCCATCCACGGTTGACTGTAGCAGGCACAGCAACACTATCAATTAATCAAGGATCAACGGTAACAGCGTTAAAACTCACATCATCACGTACTGCAAGGCTAAGTGAAGTTCGAAGTTGAAAGAGCTAGAATCATTTTGATCAGCCAAGATCATTACGCCTTTCACATTACTTTCCTTTACATTTTATTTTATGGCTGAGAAAGTTCATTTTTTCTAAATATCAGGCGAAAAAGTCGTAATTCTGCTCGTAATTCTCAATTTTCTCCATCATAACTCAACTTCTGAGCAATAAAAATATTGATCAATAATACAATCTAAAGATATACAATAAGTTCAAAAAGCATTTTGCCCAACTTTTGCATTACGCACACATTAATTTTCTAAAATTTCTTTGGCGTGCACAGTGATCGAGACCCTAGATCAGAAATTCGTGAAATGTGACCTTCGGAAGTGAACCTCCAACTGCTTTTACAACTGACTTCAGCGATCTATCAATTGTCTCTTCTCTCTTAGTCTCAACCTGTCAACTTACTTTTGCACCTATGGTTTCATATGATATTGCCTCTCGATCAAACTGGGTGGCTGTCGGTGATTTCAACGGTGACGGTCGACAGGATATCGTCACCGCCAACTTTTTCAATCACACTATGAGTGTGCTTCTAGGCTATGGTAATGGCAGCTTTGAAGCAAAAACGGTGTATCCGACTGACCTTCCCCCGGATCCATTCGCTGTCGGTGATTTCAATAACGACAGTCGAATGGATATCGTCCTGGCCAATAACGTCAATAACAGTGTGCGTGTGCTGCTTAGCTATGGCAATGGGACCTATATAGTACAAACGGTGTATCCGACTGACCTTCCCCCAGACTCGATCGCTATGGGTGATTTTAATGGTGATAATCGGCTGGATATCGTCATCGGCAGTAACATGAATAACACTGTGAGTGTGCTTCTTAACTCTGGCAATGGGAGCTTTGGAGTACAAACCACGTTTCCGATTGGACTTGCCCCGAGTTCGGTTGCTGTCGGTGATGTCAATGGTGACAGTCGACTGGATATAGTCAGCACCAACAATGCCAGTAACACTGCGAGTGTGCTTTTTGGCTATGGTAATGGGAGTTTCGGAGTACAAACGGTGTTTCCGATTAGTATTTACCCGATCGCTGTCGGTGATTTCAATGGCGATAGTCTACTGGATATCGTCACCGCCGACTTTACAAACCACACTATGAGTGTGTTTCTTGGCTATGGCAACGGGAGTTTCGGAGTACAAACGACGTTTCTAACTAGTATTTTTCCGTATGGGGTCGCTGTCGGTGATGTCAATGGCGACAGTCTACTGGATCTCGCCATCACCAACTACGATAGTAATACAGTCGGTGTACTATTAAACATGTGCCATTAATTCAATTATACTTATTCAATTAATAATTACGATATATAGTAAATACTTTTTATCGTTATATCTAATGGTGGACTATAATAATCGATAAGCAACACTTGTATCTTATTTTACCGATACATTGTCTTGACTAATAATTTAATTGACACTGAACTCTCAAACTGTTCAAAAATCGACTATAGATTGTATCGTGACTTTAGTCTTCACCCATACTCTGACTACTGTCATCGGCATTCAGCTTTTAGATTCCACATCGGGGATGGGATCGATTTTTTTGGAACCGAAACGAATCGAAAAAGTCGCAAACCGAACCGATCGCCTTTTTTAAAACTTCGAACCGAACCGAGTCAAATGAAAAAGGGTCAAAACTTACCATAACGTAGTACAGATATTGGTCTTCGATCCCATTTTTTACACGTAAATGATACCACAGATGAATCAGACTGAAGCAGTTTACATACTTTGCTTTTAACGTATTTAAAAACAATTATAAACTTTGATTTTGAGCTGACTCTATACAGAACTTGCTGCTCTAAAAATTTGTTGTTTTTCAAACCAAATTTTCTTATTTACACAAATGTAAACGGTTAGTAGTTCTCCAATCGCGTAACTGTAATCTCGTATTTTTCTGTAGACTTTTATCAATTTATGTATGTTTATGCTCATCAAGTTTGATGCTATATAACAAGTATTTTACTTCAATAGGCAAAATTTTCTACTTTATGTTTCGATGAAAATTCCAATGTTTTTACTCATATCATTTCATAGAAATATATATACTGTTTACATCTATCAAGAACTAGCACCCGGTGGCTATCAGAGACCGAAAAGAATCGGGTCGAGTTCGGGTCAATGTAAAAAATATAGGTTCGGGTCGGGTCAAAGCCAAAAAAATTTCGGGTTTTATTCGGGTTGTGCCACTAGAAAACAAATCAGGAGAGTTTCGTCGGTTACAATTCACTCTTCTATTTTTACACATGTTTTTTTTATCGAAAAGAGAAGTACAGTGTTTTTTCCTTTCTGCTATGACGCTGTGTTTACAAGCTGTATTTACTAAATACAGCCGTTGATGCGCCCTACAAAGTTATGAAAAAAAGGTGGTCGCCCACGAAGCCAGTCTAAGAAATTACGAAAAGGCTCATTACTGAGCTTACTGTTTCCGTCGCTTTCACTAAACATTGCTGTTCATATCTTACAGGACGGTGCCTGTTCTTATGCTGTTTCGCTCTATTTTTATTTGTTTTCCTTTTCACAGCAAATGTGACAAAATTGGCAAGATGTGTTTTGTCAATATCAAGATGAAGAATATCCAATAAATACAACATTTAAAACGGCTGATTGTATGGAATGTGTCTGTTCATTAGAATATTTTGTATGTTGCGCGTAAGTTGAGAGGCACTTGAGATCGTAGGTAGTTTTCTTCATACATAGAGTTAAATAAATATGATAGATGGGTAAAAAAGATCAAGAATGACTGTAAGAGTTTCATCTAAGAGACGCCAGCTAATATCGTTATTGATAATAGTCAAAATAATTCTGCAGTAGCTTGTGTATTTTCAAAATCTTCCTGTTCTGGTTATTTCAGTATTAACGTGAGGCACGAAGTTCAACCCAATACGAAAAGTTTTTTTCTAGTAGTCTCTTTAGTTAGAATGTGAAATAAATAAAATGCATCAGCCATCGAAAGTCTCAAGATATAATGTGTACTCATGAAACCGGGGACTGCTGATATTTAGTTTTAGAAAAATTTTACAAATTTAGCGAAAAGCCAGTTTTATGAAAATTAGGGTGTTCAGACTGTTTTCACCTAATACTAAAAAATTCGCCATTCACTCAAAAAACATCAGGAGTTCAAAACTTCAAAATGTAGAATATTTAAGCTATTCTATATCCTGTTTATAGGAGATCTCAAAAGAAACTCAAAAGAAAAGATCTCCAAAGATCAGAAAGAAACCTCGGCATGCCTTTATAAAGAAAACCTTTTCCAGAAGTATTTTTCGAAACAAGTTTTCTTGGAGATCTTTGGAAAACCAGACCGTGTGTATAGTCAGTACGCGACTTTTGTTTTGTGCTAACGAGTAAGTATGGTCGTTGTTCTAAGGATGTAGGACCAAAGCAACATAAGACTAGCCTTAACTTTTCCGCATTTGAGTCACATTCTCGAAGGAAAAAACTAAAGACTTAGCACTTAATGAAGAATTGTCAACTCAGTTAAATCATATACAGCAATATGATCGATAAATTTGAAAAAACTTGGGATTAGCAAAACATTCGTGTGGTCATTCCCTCTTTTCTTGTCTTTCTGTCTCAATGTTTCTCTGTTTTCGTTAAAATAAAAACACCTGTTGAATAAGCACATCCCTGATAAATAAAAATTGCGAAATTCCTGAATAAACGACTGCGCCAATGCCCGAATTTGCTATTCCGGAATTCGGGATCTATAGCTATGAGTATACGATCTCGTACGTATTATGATCAATTGTGAGAAATTTTTTTCATAAAATTATTATATTCTCTATCAAGACTGAATTGTCATTTGACAAAAGCGGCTAGAAAGAATGATCGATATTTGCACAGGGTGAAACATGTTTACAAATCGAATTTTTGTCAAATGATGTTGCAAAATGTGATTTACTATGATTATGTGAAACTTTATCAAAAGCAAATTCACATTGTGAATCGGATGTTATTCAAATGCACCGTACCCAGGAAGAAATTTTGGACCGTCGCAGGTCCTTCGCAGTCATTAAAAATGTTTTTTTTGCCTTTAAGATCTTAAAAACCTTCTTTTGACACAGTTTAAGGCTTTCCACTACTTGAGATTTTTAACGCGTTCTCTGGAGTTACTCATATAAACTTGTAAACGTCTATAAAGTATGTGAAATTTTAATGCATTGTAGCGTCTTTGGAAAACTTCTCGGGCTCTAACGCTTCCTAACGTTCCTCAATAAATGTAGCTATCATATCGCGAACTCGTTCGCATACAATAGGCGGTTCAAAGGCCTGCAACACTTTATAAGCATCATTCCAGACCACTCTGTATAGTTGTCATCCTCAACCAAATAGCGCTATTGGATATCCCGCATGAACACACGAATGTTTTGCTAATCCCAAGTTTTTTCAAATTTATCGATCATATTGCTGTATATGATTTAACTGAGTTGACAATTCTTCATTAAGTGCTAAGTCTTTAGTTTTTTCCTTCGAGAATGTGACTCAAATGCGGAAAAGTTAAGGCTAGTCTTATGTTGCTTTGGTCCTACATCCTTAGAACAACGACCATACTTACTCGTTAGCACAAAACAAAAGTCGCGTACTGACTATACTGAGATAGACAAGTATGTGATTAACAGACGTTCTCTGTTTTTCTTCTAAACGAGAATTTTTTGTTGTTTTCCTTTTATCCCGTTCTGCATCGGCAATGTCACTTGATTTATTCTGTGTATGTATTTATCACCAGTGTTCGAGTAGTACGTTTCATCGTTCAATAAAATTCGATTCGCCAAGAGAGAAAATATAGATATTGAAATGAATATAGTCAGAGAGTGAGAATTAGAGAAACAAAGGACGTTCGTTTCTGAACATACGTGTATATATTAACCGTTCAGTTATTGCTTTCCTGCCTTCACTTCACTTTCAAAACTTTTTATTATATCGTTGAAAATGAGCCTCTCTAAATTTCTGTTCGTCACAGCGGTAAAATTGTCATTCAGGATCTTTACCAAAATATTGTTTTATTTCTTTCCGTTTACTTTTTAGTGTGGAACCGTACAAAAAGCTATACATGATGCTAAAGAAGATATACAACGTACAATGGATGATAATACTAAAACTAATGCAGAAAAGAAACGTATGATTACTGAATTGGTTAATGAAGTAGAAGAATTATCAACTCAGTTAGATCACATGCAGCAATATGATCGATAAATCTGAAAAAACTTTGCATTAGTAAAACATTCGTGTGGCCATTCCCTCTTTTCTTGTCTTTCTGTCTTCATTAAAATAAAAACAACTGTTGGATGAAGACATCTCCTGATAAAACGCAGAAGCTAATTGCAAGTGCGAATAAGTACTTAAATAGTGTTTTCTACTAGCCAGGATATTAAACTTTGAATAGCAGTCTCCGTGTAGTTCAGCATTTGATATGAAGGACGTCTCTTCATCTGGTGTCAGAGCCTTTTTTTTATATAAATCTATAAGAATGCATTTATGAGATAGTCTATTTTAATGAGGTAATCAGATATTCAATTGATAGCAAATTCTTTAATAAAACATTTAAATCATATTGAGAACCTAACTTTATTTTTCATGTTTTAATAGAACATGGTCGGATATTACTAGTGTGGATGGTGAAGTAAACATCATTGAACATTAATGTCTGTAGCCGACGATTCGACTGAAATAAATTTGAGAATATCTCATTTGACAGCTCTTGCTCACGGTTGATTATCAAAATACATTTTCAAACTGCATAGTTCTTTAAATGACTCTAGATAAGATAAATATTTCCCATTTACTTGAACGATCTCTGTTATTCTGTGTTAGAGCATGCTGTTGATAATGGAAGGATACGGTAAATCATTGGCGGTCCACCAGCAGGGTAATTGGGACCAAGTAATTGGGAGTATATTTTAGTGAGGTAATCACAAAGATATTAATACTGGTAAGAAAAGTCAAATCATTTTAATTGAGAACAAAGGTGTTAATGGAATGGGATTAGACGGAACGAAACTTTGGTACCATGCGAGTTTTGACCAATCTCGTCTCATTCCGTGGGATTTAATGTTACACTTCTGCTTAAAAAGTGTTTAATAACAAAGCTTTTTTACTAAAGTTTGCTATGAAATCTGTGTAGTGTAGTCTGCTCAAAACATATAAACCAAGTTTCTATTAATAGAAGGAGTTTTTTGCTTTTGATAAAGTTTCACGTAATAATAGTAAATCACATTTTGCAACATCATTTGACAAAATTCATTTGACAAAAAAAGAATTTTAAGCCATTGGAAAACGCAGGAGATACGATGTGTAACTTTCTTGAAACGCGCGCTTGGATTCTCTGATATATGCGCGTATCTCGAATTAGTTGTTCCATAAAGAAAATCAACTAATTAGTATGATTATCGTTCGGGTTAGGCACCGTTTCTGTCATCTACGCGCACTTAATTTTAATTAGCGCAGAAAGCGACCCTTTTGATCTGTTTTACGCTTATTCTACGCGCTGGAACATGCTGAAGTTATTTCTAATTTTTCCGGCTTAAGAAATAGTGTAGTTTCGCTAAATTTTGCTATATACTATACACTAGGTCTAGGATTGTGTAACCATTGGTTCTTATGGCGCCAATGAGAGCATTTCTATGAACCCTAAGAATGAATTTCGCTATAAAGAGTTGAAAAAGTTCAAACAAAAATGGGCTTAATGAAACTTTCACGATCACCAGAGTATATTTGAACTAAAGACTCTGAACTCTGAAGAATATTAAATAGATTTGTCAACGTTACTTCAGTCGGATTTTTAGAAAGTTTTCACTCAATATTGTTCGCTTTTGTACAACCGTACAATTGTACCACCGGTTGTTCTGTTATGTGGCACAAGTGCTTGTTTGCAAGTACAATAAATCATATTAATATTTCTTTCTGTATCTAATTTCAGTCACTTCAATCAACTCATAATGTTAATGTATTAAAACAAACTGAACGTTTATTTCAAAAATACAAATATTTCGTTGATATTTATTATCAAACAATTCATAAATGTTTAGAAAATATTAACGCCAACAATAGCAATAATGATAAAGAACAACAGCAACAGCAGAAACTTATTGAAATTGCAAAACGTACAATTGATAAATATAACAACGGTAATTCAGTATTACCATCGTCAGTTAGACAATTTTAACAACAACTGAATCATTTTTAAAACGGTCTTCTACCGACAAGGAGAAGAACAATAATACATCAATATTAAAATCATTGAATTTATTATATCCGTGTACAAGTCGTTGGTACGGACTCACATGAGTGAATGAAGCAAGGTTCGGAATAATGATGCCTGCGACGAAAGATGCCTTTTTCTAAAAATTTCACTGATGCGCACCACGCGCCCATACATCTATACTTTGTGGCTTAATCTGTCTGTCGGACGTTTGAGTGACAGCCTTATTTGTACAAACATTCCTAAATTTTCTTTAGAGTCTAAAAATTAGGCTGTTGAAGGGGAATTCGATCCTCTCCGGGAGGTCATCACGCCATCCGGTCCCTCCCGCCCTTACTTAAGAGTTGGTTTATATAATATTTGAGACTACAATGACATCCTGACCATGCATCTGTTGGGATATTGGAGTTGCATTAAAAGGAAGTCATTAAAATGTTTAATGAAATTAAAAAAAGCGCTTTAACGAAAGCTTTTTCAATGAACGTCACCCAATCTCAACTGTCTACTCAAACGAATGAGTGACAGATTAAGCCACAAAGTAGGGATACACGGGAGTCCGGCGCGTGTCGGTGGTAGTCCTAGGAAAAAGACATCTTTTGTGGACTCATTAATAATATTTCACACAGGCGAAATTGCATGATCATTTCATATAAAGTAAAAAGCCTAACAGCCTTCGCATTAACAGTTTCCAACATTTCGTACTACTGCATGTCAGTCCCATCTAAAAATTTCACAAATAAGCAAATGGCTTTGACTAGACTGGACAGTCTGCTGATCATCACTGTGATACTGTTTTCCACGTAGTACGAAAAAGGTTTATATAAGTTATTCAAAAAGTTTATCTAACGAGGGAACATCCCCAGGTGTCACGCTCCGATTTCGTTCGTTCATATATCATTCGATAGGGGACCTCGAGTAGGTAAACAGCCTAAAAGGATTTCTCCTGACGGCTCTTGAAGTTTTTCAGAAACTGTAAAACATAACCAACACCTTTCTTAACGAGGCATGATTGTAGCCCGCGAAATTCTGATCAAAATGAGACATCTTCCAGCTCTACATGACCTTTCTTTGCAAAGTTATAGAATGTACAAGAAAAGCCCTAAATTAATTTCTTCTGATTTCTGTGGCTTTGAGCTGACAATGAACATTTAGGGCTTTTCCTGTATACTCTATAACTTTGCAAAGAAAGGTCATGTAGAGCTGGAAGATGTCTCATTTTGATCAAAATTTCGCGGGCTACAATTATGCCTCATTAAGAAAGGTATTGGTTATGTTTTACAGTTTCTGAACAACTGGTTTTCCAGAAAACCGGGTCTTCAGAAGCCGTCGGGAGAAATCCTTTAAGGATGCTTACCTACTCGAGGTCCCCTATCGAATGATATATGAACGAACGAAATCGGAGCGTGACACCTGGGGATGTTCCCTCGTAAGTGTCTCAAATTCTGAAAATGATAAGAATATTTTGTTTATCACTTGTTCCGAGTCAAATATTCTTAAAACTAAGACTTTCCCTAAACTATTCTCGACAAAACCACACACTTTGTCACAAAATCACTCGCTTCACCTTTATTTAGAATGAAGACCACCAACAATTCGCGTTATTAAAACGATTAACACCATTTTTTTGTCTTCATATTTCTTTACTCCTTCGTTTATCAATCGTTGATCGTTTATCAATCTGAGACAACAACTACTACATCACTTGAAAAACTAACTGAAAACTTAAAACAATTGATCTTATCTGGAGATATAAAGTGTTCGTCAGAAACATCGGCATGATCAAGAATAAATTTAAGAAATAGTAAAAGAAAACTGTCAAAAATATCGAATCCGTCTATCGATGAGTATTTAAAACCGATTTTATCAGCAACAAATACAAACATCCATTTTATTGACACTCCTAATTCGTCACATATACAATACGAAGGTAAGAATGTTTGAAGCAGAGAATTAGTTGATTTTTAATTTCAATCCAACTCTACATTTGAAATTTTGAAATTTGTTCTCAGAGATTTAAAAGATTTCCATTGTAACATTAAAAGACTAAGAATTATTTTCAAGAGAGTCAACGCTTAGAATGCCTGCAATCTGAAATGATTATCGTAGAGCAAAATCAAATTTTTTAAGTAACTCATAAAGCAGTGGCGACACAAAAAGGTTAGAGCTGGAGGGGAGTAGAGTCCAAATTCAGAATAAATTCAGCCAAAATTTTCAAAAAATAACAGGAAGGGGGTTACTCATCCTCTCTCTCTGCAGTCGCGCCACCACGGCCAAGAAGTTCAGGAGTTTGTGCGAATCAGTCTTTCCAAAGTTGCCTTCTATCTCACTGTTTCGATGCAAATTTAAAGGTAGTCTCTTCTCGTTTTCCTAGATAAACATCATTGGCATCAGATGAAAGAATGTGGAACTGAAGTTGATAGTATTAAGAGACAATAACGCATACAAAGGAAAAAATCCTCGATATGCAACAACAAATGATGAAAACTTTTATAAGTATTTTACTCTTTATGGAAATTCTCTGACTGCAAAATATATTAAAGATAATCAATTACAATTTGTATTACCATCATCATCAACCGTCGGTTCTACTGAAAACCAAAAACAGGAAAAGAAAGCTAAACAGCCAATAAAAGCCAAAAAAATTGTAGAAGGTAATATAATGCGAAGGATCAATCTAGTTTTAAGTCAAAAGTTTGGAATTTCTATGTTTTAGATAATATTAAACGACAAGCGGATGAAAAAATTCAAGAAGAACATGAACAAATGTTAAGAATTACAAATATGTTAAAAACAATACCAAAAAATAATTATTTAGATTTAATTAAAGTAATAGATAGTAGTTTACAATCATCATCATCATGTATTCAAACATCAACATATCGTTTAGAATTATTAACATTAAAAATGAAATATCAGCGTAAATATTTACAATTATTATTAACAACAACAGATGATAAGAATAAGAATAAATTAGATCAGTTATGACTTCAATATTTTGCTACATTAACATCAATTACAGATTTAGAAAAGATTATTGATCCATTTAAAGAAAAAGATATGAAAGAATTATTATTGTTTGTACATGATGATAATAATCTGACACCGAATTTTATTGAAAAATGGTATCGTTTTCAAATGGAAACAATTAATAGTTATTTACCAAGATATGAAAATAATAAAAAAGATGATCGAGTACCGAATTTCATACCAGATAAATGGCAAGTTGAGTTTCTCGATGCAGTTGATAAGAAACAATCAATTATTTTGGCATCAACAGATATAAAATTACAAAGCAAATAACGCGATCTCAACATGAACAACAGCGCCGACTCAGATTTGTTGAAACATCGATTATTAATGAACATAGGTAGGCACTCTCGTGTAACGACCACATGAAACTGTAACACTAAAACACTTATAATATGTTCTTTGACGTGATAGTTGCCAAGGCACATACATTAGAGAGACAGTCGATCTAACAGTCAAGAGACAGTTGACAAGCATATTTCGCTACCAATTCACCGACCAGAAACTGCCCAGAAAGTTCACAGGAATTTTTTCCTACATAAATCAAAGGAACAAAAGTAATTTTGAGGGAACAATACACTTAGTGTAAAGAATGCAACTAATTCATATTTTGAAGAAATTTGTGATTTATTTTCGAAGCTACAATTATTTCTTCACTAGCACAATTAAGCCATTGTCCAGTTCGATGTACAATTATAAATTGGACCAATTTCATTGATTTCATCGATGCAGATGCAATAAGGAGCATTCATTTGACTTAATTCAAGTCCTTGTTCATTTCCACTAGCTATAATACATCCAAAAAAATCTGTGAGTCACTAGTCAAATTGGAAAGCTGAGTTAGCACAAAAAACTTAAAAATTAAAGTTGTCGTATCTAATGATGCTTTGGTTTTCTTGTAAGTTAGAGAATACGTTATGACGTGTGCGGATAAATCTTGTAAGTTTAGTGACATACAAACTGTCATAGCCACTTTCGGTCCATTTGCTTGGATCATCTTCATCGGTGACGATCTCTTCTTTTTGAAATTCTTTTCATCTCTCGTCCTGTTCTGTCCTATCCTGTCGCATAGGACAGAACGGAAAAAAGTGTCCGCCGTTCACCCTTACACGTAAAGACTCGTACTGTGAAATACATTGTTTTAGTTCTTGAGTATACGCTTGAAAGATATGAAAAATAAAACCTTTGTTATTCACACTGCGCAGCTGTGTAATTTCTTTCTTTCGTTGTTCTACTTTAGGTAAGACATATGCATCCTATTATGCAATGGAGTCCGTATTAAAACAATCAACTAATAGTGTATGTGTTTATGTTGCACCAACAAAAGCATTAGTTAATCAAGTTGCTGCAACAATTTATAGTCGTTTTAATAGTCCTTGTTTCGGTTTATTTACACGTGATTATCGTCTTAATATTGATCAATGTCGAATTTTAGTTACAGTACCACAATGTTTAGAAATTTTATTATTATCATCAAATCACCCACAATGGCGTAATCGAATTCAATATGTTATTTTTGATGAAGTACATTGTATGAGTAGTGAACTAGGTGCTGATATATGGGAGAAATGTATGTTAATGATTAATTCACCAATGATTGGATTATTAGCAACAGTTGATAATGGTCGAGATCTGTATCATTAGTGGACATCGGCTGAAAAGAAACGTACAGAATTATATAAAAGGTCAACAATGTGTACACTTTGCGGTCCGTCTTGTAACTGTAACCTTTCTAATGTGAACATACATGTAATGCTTTTCTCTCTCTTTTTGAGAAAAAAAATGTTTTTAATGTTTTCTGAAATTGAAACATTTTGAAAAACAATGGCAAGGTGAAACAAAGAGATGGTAATGGACAAGTATTTACCAGTAGTAGATGCATTAAGCTACCGTGGCGCGTTTCGACCTTGCTTAAGGGTCTCTTCAGACGGCTGTTTCACATCTGTAATGTTTTTCACTTACATGTTGTGCATTTTTTATATCTTATTAAATACTGAAAACAGTAACTGCTCTGTACATGAGAGTGAGTGTGAAGAGAATGTTGCATATTTTTGAAGAAAAAGAACCGAAAAAAATAGATCTGATGGTATGCGTTTGGATTATTCATTATGAAAACCAAACCTTGAACGAATTTTGATCCCAAACAAAATGTACTTTGATACTAAAGCGGCCTTTGACTATAACCTTTCTAATGTGCACACACATGTAATACTTCTCTCTCTCTCTACTATTTATCATCTGCCTCTTATTTACTAAAACTGACTACACTTTATGTACTAGAACTGTGCAAAAAGAAGAATGACATCACAACACAAGCTAACTTTAAAGAAAAAATTGAATTATTTAATGATAAGAAGGATGGTAAAGAGATGAACAATAGAAGCTTCAGGACTAGCGTAGAAGCAGACATTCTAAAACGTTTTCTTTACGTTCACAGCAAAACACGCATCATCTCTCTAAAGTGAACACCTCCCTATGGTAAACGCTTTTCAGAAGTCCCGATGATGTTCACAATAGAGAGGTTTTACTGTATATTGTAATTTAGTTGTAAGTTAGAAGTGTGATTTCAGTCGACTTTTTATCTCCATTACGGTTTGTCTACATAACTCTGCTACCGCAGGTGCCACACTATTACTTTTTTGAAAATTCCTTCCAACTTTTTAATGAAAGAATGTAGTAGCTAGAAAAAAAAGTGTAGTTAAAAGAGAGGGAGAACTCCTTAAAGCTGAATCTATGCAAATTCTTTAAAATTATTCTCTTTTAAATGCGATTTAGAAAATAAGAGTACACTGTTCAATTTCATTTTTTTAGCGAACCAATACATAGTTGAAATACATATTTACTTACTTTATTTAATTATCTCGAGCTTTTCTACATCAACTGTAGGGAAACTACGTTTTTCTAGGTAGTCAAAGATGCTCTATCGAATGGTCGACCCCGTTTTTTATTTTACGAACTTTCAGTTTTTACCCTTCTTTTCTGCAAACAGTACAATGGTTATGCAATTCACCGATATTCACTCCACATTTCTATCCTTTCAATATATTGTTTATGAAATTCTCTAGGAGTATCATCGTGTTTTTGTTAACTACATCTCGCTCACGACGACGATGTTGTTAAAAGAGAGGAAATTGATATTTACCTATTGAAATCCGTTTTTCTGAGGAAAGTACTGTATTAACATATGCAAAATTTTCGTTTCTTCTTCGATATCTAACGCTGTTCTAAATTCTTCGAGCAATAAAGAGACACATGTTTTCAGAGTAGGACGTTCACTTGTACTCTCATATTCTTTTTTATCGTTAATATCAAAATCATTAATCAATTTTAATATACATATCCAAACTTTTTCACTTTCATCATGACTCACTTCTCTTAGTTCAGAGACATATCTAATTCCCAACAGAATTTCTGATTCTTCATTGAAATAACTCAAATGCGTGATACCTGCATACGGACGAGATTTTAATCGTACATCTAATTCAATTTCAAATAAGACACCCAGTCTTTGCTCATCTGGAGTAGGAGATTGTATTAGAAATGTAGATGCTACAGTTCGATCTTTTGTTGTTCATAGAAAGCTATTATTTTTAATATAGTATTCCGTTTCCTCTTCTCGAAGTTGATTGTTTCAAATATTTCCAAGTCCTTGAGGTTCATAACGTGACATTAATTGTCCCTGATAGACTGTTAGAATAGGATTATCTTTTGTTAGCCGTTCTAATTTTAAAGTGTTCACATTCATCTCTAAATTGCCTGAAGAGAACACGTACAAAGAAGCCAAATAAAAATATTAATTGAGGATCACGAAGAAGAAATGCTTTATTTATTAATTGATAGTGAAATATATTTCTTGGATACCATCGTATAGCCTGTTCGGATGTTTAATTAGCTTCAAAATCATTAATTTCACGAAGCTTTATTGGACTTTCTCTGTAATATTCTCGTAAAGTTTTAGTCAGTTGAGAACAAGCATCAGACTTAAAGGGCAAACAGCATAGAATCTCTATAAAACGAGACCATTCTGTAAGTGCTACATCAGTTGATAATTGATCTCTTTCAATGGAACTGAAAATTCTATTATCACCTTCTCTTTCATATTGTTTAAATTCTTCTACACTGTAGTAGATCTTTAATAGATGTTCAATTTTTGTTCTAACATTTTTCACCTAAAGGTACACTAGACACTAAAACAGTTCTAATAAACACGATTTGCTGACTTTAATTTTGAATATCAGTTAGTTCATCCTTCATGTGAATCTTTATCACAACAGTAAATGTGAATGGTCCAAATATTTTTATTTCGATGGATACCTGCGACTTTCAGACTCTAAAACTAGACACTTTGGGACGTAAACCCATGAACAAATCAGAGCTTCCGATCAGATTTACCATGGTGTACCGTTCGAGGCAAAATTCGAAAGCTTACTGTTCTCAAACCACGCTATAAAATCCCATCTCAAATAATGCCAGTAGATATCGGAGAATGACTAGCAGTGATCATAGAATGTAGATCGAGTCGAAAATATTAAGAGTACCCCCCCCTCTTTTTTCACCTTGTTGCCAAATGCGGAGTACATGTCCGATTGAGCTCAAACTTATAGCAGAGATAGAACATCGAAAAAGAAAATCGATGTATTTTTGCCCAGAATTTTCTGACGTGTTCTTCTATGGGTTTTCTAGAAAACTCTGGTTTTCATCCAGTCACATTACGACCCCTCGAAAAAATGGTCCGATCGAGCTCAAATTTTTACCACAGATACTTTAGGCCCTATCTCAGGTTCGTT